AATCAACAAATAGCATGGGTTAAAATTTTGTGTTCCCTCCTGTTAATTTTTGTGTTCCCAGTACGTTCTCTCCTGTTGATTTTGATTTCTTAAAAGCATATTGGAACTGGGAAAGTAAAAAACCAAGGAGAAATAATTAATTTCTTTATTTGTAAAATAATAAATTTAGTATATATATATTTTTTTAAAAAAATAAATGTGCACACAGTCTGTGTAACGTGATATGCCCTGATTGAAATTTAAACACTGACATCAACGTCCACTTTCAAGCAGTCAAAATCAAAAGATAGAATGTCCAATGACTTCCAGGAAGAAGCTCGACTCATCTCCATGTAGATTTGTCCTGGTGCAAACATGTTATGGTCTATAGTCAAGGTTGCACATGGCAGTGTTAGGCCTTGAGTCTTGTGCACAGTAAGAGCAAATGCATTCTACAATGGAAGTTGATACCTTGATGCCAGTATGCCAGTTATATTAAAATTTGCAGTGCTTTTCTGAACGTTGATTTTCACCACATTATCAGTTGTTGGGAACATAACTTCAACATTGTCATCATTAATAACTTTAGTTACCACTCCTATCGTCCCATTGCAGATATTGTACTCGAAGAGTTGGTTGTTCAAAGAACATAACCCTTGCCCCTTCCTGGATTGTAATGGATTTTTGGAGATTTGTGTGATTTTTGAAAGGCAAGTTGTGCCCACCATTGATCCTCTCATGATTTAAAGTGTCAACTGCTAAGGAAACAACAGGATCAGAGCATCGGTCATCAAAAGGTAAGTGCTGGCAAATGAAGGCATTTATTTGGTCTGATATTTCACAGGTACTAACAACATGGGTGGTGTTTATCATCACCCTGTAATTTTGAGATATTTTACCTTTTCATTGATCAACAATTTTGGTTTTTGTGAGAGGTGCCCAAATCTCAACTCCTTGAGCAAATGGAAAAAATCCAAATCTTCCTTCTGTCATTGTGGCCTGGACAAGAACAGAGGGAAAAATGCTTTCCACGCTGGTGAAAAGAAAACTTGTTCTCCGTTCACGGGAGGCAGTTGGAAAAGATCACCAACCAACAGCACTGAAATTCCACCAAAGATCTTGTGGTTGTTGTGCAACAAACCAAAAAGGTTACTCAGGAACGAAAACAGCTCATTGGAAACCATCAATACTTCTTCTATCACAACAGCCTTGATCTTCTCTCGAGGACTCAGTACTTAGGGACAAAGACTGGTAGTGGCCATCTGTTTGTCTTATTCTCAAGGTTGAATGGATGGTCCTCCCACCAACGTTCTGTGCTGCAACACCTGTAGGTGCCAGCAACAGGTAATTGATTTTCTTTTTTTTTCAGCATGTCTATCATTTTTAAAGTCCTGAATGTTTTTCCAGTACTTGCAGATCCAGTCATGAAGAAGTACGGATAGGGTTTTTATTCATGAATATCATGAATATCATTAAGGGGGTTACACACTATTAAAAATAGCAAAAAATCCCTTAAAACATGAGTTGATCACTTGATTTTAATAGTGTGTGACCCTGTGTGACCCCCTTATGATATTCATGAATACAAACCCTAAGTACGGATACTTGTTTTCACATTTGGGGCCCCAAGAATTACAAAGCATGTTGTATATTTTGTATTGGTCGTGATCAAGCATCAGTGTGGAGGCTGTTCAAAGAGAAGGCTTTTCCAACAAGATAAGCTGGTTATATATAACGTCCCAGAGATAATTCTTTTTTAGATCTGTCAGGACATGTTCAATCACTCTCTTGAACACTTCAGAAAGTTGGAGTTTGCCGGCAATGGAACTTTTTGATAATCTCAACACGGCCTGCACATACCTTATCGGGTACAGGCTTCTAAACCTATCCCTATAACTTGTAAATCCTCCTAGCAAACCAACCTTGGAGTGAACAGCATGTTTCATTATAAGATGCTGATAGAAAAATGGCTCTCCATTGTCAACATTATAATTCGTAAATCTCACGAGCAACAGTTTGGTCCTTTCAGCAACAAATCTATTTTTCAGATCTCTTGTCAAGTAAAGCTTGCAGGTGAACAACCCCCAACTTTAAATCTTTGAAAGTATTCAGGGTAAGTTAAACTTTCGAAAAGTTCATTACTTGGCCGATCAAAATACTTGTCTATCGCATCATCAAAATATGGTTTTTCCTCATCATCATCTTGTTGCTCCTCAATTTGCATGTGAATGGGCTTGACTGAACGAATTCTCAATTCAGAAGGGGCTGATGGAAGATATTGAATGGAAGTGGAAGACCTTGTTATGGAATATTGCAAAAGCAATATCATGAGTTCCATCGACCCTAACCTCCTAGCCTGGACATGTCTGCTGTAATAATCTTGTTTGTTAACGTTGAAGATTTCTGTGGGTTCAGGCTTGGTGGCATACTTTGTCATGTATTTTCCAAACCCAAGGGTTGTTATGTATTGGAAGTTGATGTGTCCTTGCCAAATCAAAAGTGTCTCAGGGTAGTACAGTACAACCCAGTGGTCTTCCTCTTTGGTTCTTTGATAGATGTATCATTTGGAATTTGGCCTACAGTACGTGTCGTTTGAAAGCGGTTGAGGGAATCCATTTTTGCACAGTTGCAAATTCGTACCTGGACCTCTGCATTTTTCCACAATGCATCTATGAATTTGGAACATTGTGACAAGCCAGTGAAGCTCAGGCTCAAGGACCAGGTGAGGCATGTCTGCACAGATTGCATTGTCCGAAATCAAGCCTTGGATCGAAGATTCAGTGTAGGCAAACCCATGTGTGTGGATGGTTCCTCTGTTCTAAAATTCATCCCTTTCAAAATAGTGTAGGAGCTTACCCCATTGCACAAGACCTGGATCTTTCCAAAGTTTATTGCGCACGTTTGCCAACCTGTTGTGATAATGGAGGTACATGTGCAATGGTCTGTTTGTTGGGAGTGGATCTTTGTTGTCGGTGCATTCTAAGATTTCTTTCAGATGCCACCATTTGCCTTCTGCAGCTGTCATGGTATAGAAAATTTGGGGCAGGCCATAAGCTTGGATCATTGTGTTGACCTGATACTGTTTTTTCTTGAAAAAAAGCACAGACGTTCTGATAGATGAAGGTAGCGTGATGGTTAAGGATTCGTTTATGATGGGGCAACTTGTGTACACACTCGATGATATCAAGTCGGCTCTGGTAAGGGGTGAGTCGCAAGCAACATTCTTCTGATTCAAAATTCTGTTCCGATTTTGGTAATTCCGTTTTTTTCTATATTCATGTAAGAATAATGTGGCCAACACCAATGCAATTGAAACCGTGGATCAGGACACAGCATTCTCAATTTAACATACTTTCCATAACTGTCTGTAATTTGTTTAAAACCTAGCAACTTTTTCACATCTTCATAGTGACCACGGCCAGTGGGAAAGAGATCAGGGAAGACCAACACTTCAACATCTGGATTACTGAGCTGAATTGGAAGCACAAGGTCATCATCCAAGTCCATGAACCCTGCCATCAAGCGTTCATACCTGTAGTCTTCATCGTGGATTCATGCTGGAAAGTCATCATTTGGGATAGTGTTCCATGTCGCAATCCAAAAAAGGAAACAAAATGGTTGTAAAGGTGGTTGCAACCAGTGGTTGCAATCATTTTTATATGACGCAAAGATGGTAGCAACCATCATCAAAAGTTGCAGCTGGTATCCTTACACACACATACATATTTAAATTTAACATTTCAGAAAAAACAGATATGCCAATTTATTATTATTTTAATACGTTTATTAATATTATTTAAATTATTACGTGTAACAATAAAAAATGGGGTATGTAGATCAATTTCATTCTACACGCAAATTACTTTAAAAAAATATCCGGCCTACAATTTCCCATGTTTTTATTAAGAAAACAGGGTCTGATATCTTCACAAGTTATAATCTACATGTCACAGGATGGTATTATGTAAAAAACACAAATTTGGTCAAAAGAGCTCGGAGGTGGTTTTTGCTGTAGACAGTCCCATATAATATTACCCTTGTAAAAAAGGTTTTATTTAAGAAAACGTTCCTTTTTTAGTAAGGACTCTTCATTTGACGTTACACAACTTGTGAGTGACATCAGGATTTTTTATATCTAACATTTCGCATCAAATTTTATTGTGTTAAAAATTAATAAAAATAAAAAAAATATATATAAATTCAATACATTTTTTATTAATTATATAATATAATCATAAGCGACCGTTCTGGCAGCACAAAATTTTAACTCATGCAATTATTTATTGTGAATTTGATAACGTAAAAATAAATGTTGGTTTGATTCATTTTGTCAACAATCACTCTACCAACAATTGTTTCGTCAACAAATGGTTCGGATTTAATAAGTTAGAAGCAACCATGCAACAAACCTTTGAAATAGTCTAATAAATTAAATTGTACTACTCGAAATGTATTTAAAGGGTTGGTTTTCGACTTGGTTGAAGAATAACTCTCTTCCTAACTCTTCTCTTGACCATATCTCTCGATATAATCAAAATAACCTAATATAATGAATGTTGACAAAATGATGTAAACACAACCAATATTTAAGATATACAATTAAGACAGAACATGAACGATATATGCAAAAATCAAACAAATTTGTTTAATAAAACAAAATTTACAACCCAAAAAAATGTTTTTTTGGATGTTCCATTATTGCATCTTTTATTGCTGATTGAATGTTACCCAGATCATCATCAACTGTACTTTCAATATTTTCAATATTTTCAATAAACTCATTTTTGTTTAATCTTTTCATCATACTTTCTTTTAATGCATTGACATTTTTTTGATTTCGAATTGAAGATAGTCCAAGATATCAAACATTTAGATTGGCACCTTTGTAGACAATGATTATAACAACCATATCCACAGAGTATATACACAACAATTATTCAAATTAGTAATTAGTGTAATCACAATATATGTAATTGCAAAAAATGTTTGTATATGATTTCCTAGAAGTAACTAAGCCTTTGGAAGGTGACAATCTGTTATTTTGTAAACTAAAGAAGGCAATTTGTATGAGTTAATACCATTAGATGAAGTTTTAGTAATCAAAGGATACTGATTTCGTGCTTGATATATCTTCGTAAACACATCTAAAAGCAATTCAGCACACTTTCGGGAAAGCATATGCAATTGCTTCAGTGTATATGGATATTTCATAGAAGCTATGAAATGTTGGCAAAAAGCATTATCCTTTTGATGCTGAAAAATAAAACGTGCCACCTTTTTCAGTTGTTGTGCAGTAAATAGCATATTAAAGGAGAATTTTAGTTTGAAATGAATAGAAAAAAAAGGTTTAAAAAAGGTTTTAAAATTTTTAAAAAAAATTAAACTTTAAACTATAATTTGCATTGTAAAACTAATTTCGTTTAACAACATGATGTTAATTGATATTTAAAGTTGTACAGTACAACTCAATTTAAAAGTAGTACAATAGAATATAGCTGATAACACAAATCAACGCAATGTAAATTTATTTTTAAGATTCTGATGAAAGAGAGAGATTTCAATGTCTAAGTCATACTTTTAACAATGATTAATAAAACCAGGGCTCTCCTCTATTGCAATTTTTAATCTTTTAATTCATAAACTGATAATTGTAATAATAAATGAAACTGTACAGGCACTTTTATTACAACAAGAAAATGCTGGTGAACAAGTAAAATGTGTTAATAGAATTGAAAGATAGATCAATGTAAAGAAAGTAAATTCATTGAAACAAACTACAATGGGATAGTTATTTTTAATATTTTAAATAATAATTTTTCTATATATGTGTGTGCTGTATTACGTACAACCTAAAGACTAGTGCTGTAAATTATGATGATGGTAGTAATTGTATTTATGGCATATAAAAAGTGGTTGCAATTACCTTTGCGACCACTTTTGCAACCATACTTTTTCCTTTTTTGAATTACGGCACTAGTGTTTATTTGAGGTTTCAACAATGAACTCAATGTGTCTCCTTGAGCAATACCTTCTTCAACTGGCCCTTCATTTTCACTGATTTTGATCTGTTGCAACCAAAAAAAAAAAAAAATTTTTTTTAGAAAAGATAAAATAATTTTTTTGCAGACTAATAACTAAGTTATCTCTTACCTTTTTTATGATGAAGTTAGTGGTAATTCTTCCTCAAAAAGTTGCTTTTGTCCAGTCTTTAATTCATCAGGTTCCAACCTTTCATCAGATAAGAATTCTTCAAATTTGTTTGTAATTGTTTTTTGCAATAAAGATCTCTCCTTGTTGCACCTAAAATATATTGGGTCTATAATGAATAGATATTTTAGTATGTTAATATAAAGATTGGTAATAATATGTCAAATAAATATACAACCTGTTCAATATTAATCTGATTCTTCAATTTATTCTTCCATTTTTTTTTGTGGACATTAGTAAATGTTGTTAAAACAGAAAGCCACTGAATTCTTGAAATGCATAAAGATAACTCACTTGACATAACTGGGCTTCCTCTTCAAATAGCCTTTTCTCTATGTTAATGTTTCGTCTCTTGGACTGCATATTCCAAAAAAGAATTATTTCACTCAAGCTTTTATCCTCCTAATATATGGAAAAGTGATAATTAATTTAAAGAAAACATATGACACACATAATCAGCCTGAAACAACAGACAAACACGCAGTATTTCCCACTGCCAACATGCAGTCAACAAGGTAGTCCGTTAAAACACGCACTTCATATTAATACACCAACAAACATGCAGTCTTTCCCACTGCCAACACGCAGTCAACAGGTAGTTGGTGACAGAATAGAACAACTCAGGTTGTAGAATCAAATAAATCGTGTGTAAGTCAACTTCTCTTAACTCTTTGCCCTGATTTCGGACGTTTCGTCATAGTACTCGTCAATGGTTTCAATTCATTTTTGTATTGATTGTGCTCCGTTGCTTCGTTTTTCTAAACAGCCCTCCTCTAGCCGGAAATCTAAAAACTTCTTGAGTGTAGGTTTTTCTACGCTTTTCCAAAGTCTATATACGTGTTTACAAACAGTAAGTTACATTATAAAGCGTTAAGAGATCTGATTATAATTTACCTACCGGGATATCTTAACGCGTTTAAACACTTGGGAATCAGCTTCATTTTATGAAATTAATTAACCATCAATCACAGGGATAGTTTTTTATTGTAAAATTTTGATTGGTCAAAAATTGCTACACGAAAAATTTTGTAGACTTTATTAATCAATATTACAGTATTTATTTTTAAAATTATATTAAAATAGGTCGCCAAAAAGCTGCTACTTTTTTTTCGAAAATAGTTTGGACCGAAAACCTTTATTCCTATAAATGTGAAACACAATCGTGGTGATTCTCTACTTAGTATATATATATATATGTTTGTGCTTGAAATTGTGGCAGAGTACCTTCATTGATTGGCTTATTTAACATATTTACTGCTGTTTTGTTACATATAAATAAATAACAATGTCATCATATTGTGGTATCACGTAAATTCTGGTAGAACTAATTAATTTTTCCACAAGTCACTTGATATAATATTAAAATCTTCTTTAAACAAATTTTTTTTTTTATCTAAATAAAATTTTATGCATCTCCACATAAAATCATGACTGAAGTAATAGCCACATCGTATGTCATCAAACAACATAAATAAAACTTATAGATCAAACATATAACTTCTGTTAATTCTATTATTTTGTAGTGCTAAAGAATTAGAAAGAGAACTGCAAGGTTTATATGTACCTTTTCAGGGAGAAGAATCTGAAGAAAACTGGTTGGTACGTGAGCGTGGTATAAATCGTCTTCGTACTTTAATTGATGGAGATGTTATTGCACTCTACCATGACACTTTTATGAATGGAATAAAATTACTTATGGATGGTATAATTAAATCAGTATGTTAACTTTCAATTAAAAAGTATAAAATTTAATTAAATATGTTGTTTTTTTTCTGGGATTTTCTTTTTAAAACAAATTGTAATAATTATAATAATTTATTTATAACCGGTTAGCTTACCAGTTTACGCACAGCGTTAACTTTAGCTACCTGTGGACTTATAAAAGACTTATCAATGAAACTTGGGTCATCAATTGATCCATTTGCAGATAATTTATTAGTAAACCTTATAAAAATGGCCGCATCAACAAAAAAAATAGTTGGTCAAGCAGCATCAAATGCTGCCAATGCACTACTAAGTAAAACCTCATATCATTCTCGGCATGTATTACAAGTATGGTATACAATGGAAGAAAAAAATATACAACTAAGGATTTTTGCTATTGGTTATGTAAGAACCTTACTTCTGACTCATTTTGACAGAAGAGATGCGATGGAAAGAACAGGTGGTGCCGAATCATTAGAGAAATGCGTCAAAAAGGGTTTGACTGATGCAAATCCCAATGTAAGAGAAGGATGTCGTTCAGTTTTTTGGATTTTTTATCAAACCTTTCCTGAAAGGGGTGAAAAGTAAGTCAGTTTAGAAAATTAGATTTTCTTTTTATTTAATTGGTTCAGGAATTTATCTATCGCTTAAATCAAAAAATTTAGACTTTTGAAAAATCTTGAGCCTGCTGTGAAAAAACTAGTGGAACGTGATCGACCAAAAGATATGGTCCCTGCCGCCACTCCACCTCCACCTTCACCTTCAAATTCAAATTCTACCAACAATTCATCAAGTACGGTTACTAAAAAAACTCGTCGTAATTCATTTGGTTCTAGTAAATCAAAGAGATTGCCCAGTCCTTTAAAATCAGAACATGACAATAATTCTTTAGCTAATAAGCAGTCAAAAAGCCCAACTACTTTACGTGCAAAATCTCCTGCACCGCCACCAATGACGAGAAGTAAATCATCATCAGGGGCAATCAATCTATCACCACAACACAACGATAGTCCACCCTTACCGCCAAAGTCACCCACACCCACAAGGGCGAATGTTTTAACAAAACGAGCCTCAGTTGCTCAATTTCCTAAAGTTCAGATTCGTAAATTATCAGTTATGGAACAATTGGAACACAATGATTGGAAAATACGTATTGATGGGCTAAATAATTTAGTAAGCTTGGCAATAAAAAGATCGTCAGAGTCAAATACAGGAAAACATAACGAGTTCAAAAGGTCACCACTTCCGTCTGATGATGACTTAAAACCTGTTATTTTTAAGTTAATAAATGATTCAAGTCCTAAAGTGATTGAGTGTTTGTTGTCCGCAAATAATGTTGTTGAAATTGCCAAGATTGTCAAGATTGAACATTTTATTCTTAAAGTACTTTTGATTGCCAGCGATGATGACAAAACTGAGCAATCAGTAACTGTTCAAGCTTGTCTTCCAGAAATGAAACATACAATTGGAAAAGAGAATTCTTTAGCTGCATTAAGTAAGTGTTTTTTGATTTTAGGAAGCCCTGGAACTTCGCCAAAAAAGTTAGCAGCTGGATTAGGTTTCTCGCCGCCACAAAGGCGTAAAATTATCCACGGGCTTCTCACATGGATTAATGAAATCATTGAACCTAAACTTGAAGAAGCCGAAATAAATGATGGCGCAATTGGTGGATTTCTAGGCGATCCAGATAAATACAAACTTCTTGTTAATCGGGTCATCCCAATGGTATTGACCACTAAGGAGAATTCGGAAAATTTTAATCCACTTAGTAATCTATTAATAAACTTGCACAAACTAAATCCCGACTTATTCGAGTCAGTTTTATTTACGTTTGATTCTAAAACTGTTGATGCGGTAGGAAATATGGTTGGATGGGAAGATGAATTTGAAGAAGAATCTGAAGAAAATGAAAGAGATGAACACGAACTAGAACAAGAAGCAGAATACCAACATGAGCTGCAATTGAAGCGACAAAAAGAAAATTATTTACAGCAGCAACTTGAACGAGAAAAAGAAATAGAATACCAACACGAGTTAGAATTAAGACAACAAGAGGAATATGAATTATCACAACAACAATACGAGTCTCAATATAAACGAGAGATGGAATTCAGGAAACAAAAAGAATTCGAGCTACAACATGAACTTGAACGTGAAGCTCAATATAAACGCGAGATGGAAATAAAGCAACAAAAAGAATTTGAACTGCAGCAACAACATGAGCTTGAATATGAAGCTCAATATAAACGTGAGATGGAATTAAGACAACAAAAAGAATTTGAATTACTGCAGCAACGTGAACTTGAACATGAGGCTCAATATAAACGCGAGATGGAATTAAGACAACAAAAGGAATTTGAATTACAACAGCAACGTGAACTTGAACGTGAAGCTCAATATAAACGTGAATTTGAATTAAGACAACAAAAAGAATTAGAGTTACAACAGCAACATGAACTTGAACGTGAAGCTCAATATAAAAAAGAAATGGAATTAAGACAACAAAAAGAATTTGAATCGGAGCAACAACATGAAGCTCAATATAAAGGAGAAATGGAATTAAGACAACAAAAAGAATTCGAGCCACAACAACATGAACTTGAACGTGAAGCTCAATATAAACGCGAGATGGAAATAAGGCAACAAAAAGAATCTGAATTGCAGCAACAACATGAGCTTGAATATGAAGCTCAATATAAACAAGAGATGGAATCAAAGCAACAAAAAGAATTAGAGTTACAACAGCAACATGAACTTGAACGTGAAGTTCAATATAAAAAAGAAATGGAATTAAGACGACAAAAAGAATTTGAATTGCAGCAACAACATGAACTTGAACATGAAACTCGATATAAAAAAGAAATGGAATTAAGACAACAAAAAGTATTTGAATTGCAGCAACAACGTGAACTCGAACATGAAGCTCAATATAAAGGAGAAATGGAATTAAAGCAACAAAAAGAACTCGAACTACAACAAAACGAACTTGAACGTGAAGCTCAATATAAACGCGAGATGGAAATAAAGCAACAAAAAGAATCTGAATTACTACAGCAGCACCAGGAAGAGGAACATGAATTGCCATCGAGGCAACAAAAAGAACTTGAGCAACAGCAACTTCATGAACAAGGAAAAGAATTAGAATATCAGCAAGAGTTGGAGTTAAGAAAGCAAGAGGAGTATGAATCACAACAGCATCGTGAAGCTCAATATAAGCGAGAAATGGAATTAAGACAACAAAAAGAATTTGAATTACAGCAACAGCGTGAGCTTGAACTTGAACGCGAACGCGAACTTGAACGTGAACGCGAACTTGAACGTGAACGCGAACGTGAACGCGAACGTGAACGCGAACTTGAACACGAACGCGAACTTGAGCGTGAACTTGAACGTGAACGCGAACTTGAACGTGAACGCGAAGCTCAATATAAACGAGAGATGGAATTAAGGCAAAAGAAAGAGTTTGAATTGCAACAACAACGTGAACTTGAACGTGAAGCTCAATATAAACGTGAATTTGAATTACAGCAGCAACGTGAAGCTCAGTATAAGCGAGAAATGGAATTAAGACAACAAAAAGAGTATGAATTACAGCAGCAACGTGAACTTGAACGTGAGGCTCATTATAAACGAGAGATAGAATTAAGACAGAAGAAAGAGTACGAATTGCAACAACAACGTGAACTTGAGCGTGAAGCTCAATATAAGCGAGAAATTGAATTAAGGAAACAAAAAGAATATGAATTGCAACAACAACGTGAACGTGAACGTGAAGCTCAATATAAACGTGAATTTGAATTAAGGCAACAAAAGGAATTGGAATTACAGCAGCAACGTGAAGCTCAATACAAAAGAGAGATGGAATTAAGACAGAAAAAAGAATATGAATTACAACAACAACAACAACAACAACAACAACAAGAACATGATGCACACTATAGACGTGAATTTGAATCAAGGCAACAAAAGGAATTTGAGCTGCAGCAACAACGTGAGGCTCAATATAAAAGAGAGATGGAATTAAGACAAAAGAAAGAATATGAATTACAAAAACAACAACATGAGCACGATGCACAATATAAACGTGAATTCGAGTTAAGGCAACAAAAGGAATTTGAACTCGAAGCACACTATAAACGTGAGTTTGAGTTAAGAAATCAAAAGGAATTTGATGAGTATGATGATACCATCAGTGAATTTGATCTTAACCAGTCAGAAAAATCATCCACAAGAGATGGCACTGTGGTAAGCAAACCTGTCAATCGTATTGTGTCGCTTCCTCCACCTTCACACGAATTAGGAATTCCTGATTTTGATGAAATTAATTCAGATTTAGAAAATATAAATGAAATTGTTAAAAAATTAGATATGGAAGAGGAGGAGTTGATCGAGGTAACTAGTTATTGAAAAAATTCATTTTTTATTTAAAGCTTTTGAAAAAAAATTTATTAAATAATTTAAATTAGGAAAATATATCAGGAGATCTTGATGAAATAGCAGCTAACAGAACAACCAGCATTATTATTACTGAAGACACTTGGGCACAACTATCTAACACTTTGAATGGCAATCTAAATAATCCTTTTTACACCGACCCAGAAAAACGATTCAAAATTGAAGATGATAACAATAATGATACAAAAATAAAACAACCTTTTTCTGCTGCTCCATTAAACATGAAAAACAGACCTCTAAATTTATCACTAGAACAAAGGATAGAAAAGATAGATGAGAAAGATGAAAAGTTAATACCTGTCAATGATAATAATAATATGAATGTAGAAAACCAGTCCTCAACAAATTCTCCAATTATAAAAAATAATATTGATTCTAGATTTGATATAGCACCATCGTCCCCTGATTCTTCAGCTAGGAATGGATGTTCAACTCCAGGTGCTCGTGATAGAGCAATCAAAATGAGCGAACGTTTGTATTATTAAAGATTTTTTTTAAATTTTTATTCATGACGGTATCAGAAAAAGATAAAATATATATATACTTTTTTTTTTTTTTTTTTTTTGAAATCATAGGTTTTGGTTTAGATTCACCGTTACCCACCTCTGCACAAGAAAAAAAATTAATACTTGTTACACTCCTGGCAAGATTAGGCAACAATGAAGTTGATGTTTGCCTCTTTAGAAAATTGATTCAATTTTCAAGAGAATCACCTTTATCCGATCAAGAACTATCCAAAGACATTTGGGAAAATGGTGAAAGATTTAACGAATTGATGAATTCATTAATAGGTTTTTTCAGTGAATCTGATCAGGTTTGGTATTTGATATGTATTTTTTGAGGGAAAATTTTGTTAAGATCTAATTTAGATGGTCCAAATTATTTAATAATTAAATTTAGCAAAATCTAGAATTAAAAGGAAATGCTCTTGAGCTACTTCAACAACTAATAATCAATCAATCCGGTTATCTTAAAAGTTTTGAACGAGATGTTTTACATGTTCTGTTAGAGTGTCATTCTGAACAATCTTCTATTGTAAGAACTAATAATCTTTTAATATTTGATTATAAATTTTATTGAATAATGAATTTATCATTTTTTGGGGGATTTTTATTATCAAGTTATCCAACCAAATTGAAGAAATTATGGATGAGTACGTTCGAATCGTTGATACACAAATGGGATTATATGCGCTGATTGACATCATGGAAACCAATCTATTTATGAATAACTTTGGAGGGAATCAATCTCCACAATTACAAGCAGTTAATAATAGTAATGGCATAAAGGGATCGGCATTTATTGTTTTATCAAAATTGGTTAGACGATTTGATAAAAAATCCCTAGAAAGACAAGTAGGAAGGGTTGTTCCATTAGCCATTAAGGTATTGTGTGTACTAACAATATGGTAGTAAATAATAATATTATTTCTTTCCAACTAATCGTTTATTTACTATAGGGTTTTAATGACACAAAACCTGAAATACGAAAAGCTGTGGTTGATGCAATCGTTGCAATATATTCCGTAATTGGTGACGATAAAACTTTTTTTCAATATTTAGGCAGCCTAAGTCCTTCGCAAAAAAATTTATTAAATTATTATTTTGACAAAACTACAAAACAACATAAAATTACACAAATATCAACAAAAGGGGTGCAAATATGATAGATAATTATTAACAAACAATAGATGTAACTTTATTTATTTATTTTTTTTTATTTTTTTGTATTTTAATTTTTTATTTTTTATTTATAACTAAAAATGGGGCACGAATTCCCTTTGATTGGCTAGTTTAATTTCCACGTACGTGCGATTCACAATCAACCATTATCTAAAGAATGACTATTCTTCACTAACACTAATTTGAACCAGGTTGTTTTGTGTGTGGCTCCGTTATTGATTAAATATAACTAAATTTGAAACTTGCCGTTGACTTTGACTCGGGGCGTTTTACGTGTGGCTCTGCTTATTTTCCTGATTGTGATCATGATAAAGAAAAAAAATAACATTTCAGATGGCTTTTTTGTAAACAAGAATTAATCAGGTGGTAGAGATTTTTTTTTTAAAGTGTGAATATTGATTGATTAAATGGAGGGAAAAAAGATTTTTTTTAAGATATTGATCGAGATTATTTCTAAAAAAAAGATCTTTTCTGAACAAAAGATCTCTTTTTTCCTTTTAAAGAAATTAAAACTCAAATTTGGTAATATCAAATAAACTATTCCATTCATTCCTTAATTTCCTTGAAAAACTTTGTTTTAAAGTTTAAAGTTTATTTCGATGGATTCTGTAATTCTGCACGTCATGTAATGCTTTGACACAATAAATATTTGATTAGTAAAAAAATAGACAACACACGTTGAACACATACTGAAAACTGCAGTTCATTCAGTACGCGTCCCACACATTTTCCGTGTGTAATTCTATCAAATTGACCCTGCCGTGTATGTTTGACAGATTTCGAATAACCAATTGATGGCTTCAACAGTAAATGAATAAATGTTTTTTGAATAGCGGGAATTAATTGGAAGTCTCATTTAATGTCATTAATATTAAGATGTGCGAATTTTTATAAAACTCTTTGCTACGTTATACCTCAAGTCTTATTTAAATATTGGCAATTTTTTAAATAACGCACATTATTATGTAATTAGGAATTAAATAAAAGTTTTTTTGAAGCTAGGTCAGAATAAGTGTCTTAAATTATACAGTTGGCCCACTTATAATCACACCCTCGGGACCAGCTAAAGCTTGCGCGTGATTATAAATAATGTGATGATAGAAAGTGACTATAGGAGATGAGTGACTATACGGGAGGTGGTGACTGGATGGAGTCAACTGTATGTATAAATATGTTTCTGAAAGAAACATCAATTATAAATGGGACATACCACAACAAAGTGAACATTATGTCACAAAGAAATTTCCTCTAAACGCCACAATTATGGCCTTTTCAATAGAAACAAGAAAATACCTGCATTTCAAGTAATTTACTATTTTAAAACTTTATATCAATAGGGAAAACATCTCAAAATTATTAAGTTGGGATGGTTCCTAAGCCAAAAATGTTCCTCGTGACGAGTTACATACAAATATGGCGGTATTAAACTCAAAATGGATCTGGGACCAGTTATCCTCATTTCTATTGAAAAAGTCCCCGAATGATGCTAATCCCATGTAGAGCGATTTCTTATATTATTTATTAAAGATCTTAATCATCTGACTTTGAACTGTTTTACAGTCACCAAGCATTTCTATCTAATACTAATTAATAATGCATTGCTTAGGCCCTGTCTAATAAATCACCAATCAGGTAAGTTAGATTAGAAGTGTCCATTTTCAAAGAAATTAATTTGTTTGGTTTTTTTCATTTGTTTCATTATTTTGTTATAACAACTCAACACCAACAGCGAAGCAACACTAGAAAGCACAGTTATAAGTATTAATACATGTTGGAAAAATTCCAAATAGTGCATATTATGTGTTTCACCATAGTAATCAATGGCGAGTGTGTTGAATATTCTTTCATTCATTAGTATTAGGCAAAAAGAGGCATTTAATATATCCAAGTAGTATAAAAGCTGAAGTTGGTGTCTGTGACTATTTTCGCATTTTTCTGTTTTTAAAGCTTGAGTTGCAACCCTTGAAACCGTCCGCAACCATCTGCAACTCAGGGATGATGATTTTATGCATTAATTGTGCGCAAAATTTTTTTTAAATTATGCACCAAAAAACATTAATTGTTACTATTATCATATTATTATTATCATTTTCATGAGCTTCCCTTTTGCAATGATTGTCAACAGTTGATCTATGGCTCCACTCAATAGAATTATCACATAAAACAAAGTATCCCATATAAATTTTCCTTTTTTATAAATATTTAATATTGAACATCTGATAATTATCAATTATGCAACAATTATGTGACGGTTTTGGTTAATTATGTAAAATATCATCTTCCTTGCTGCAACTATAATTATAATGACTTATCAAAAATGGAATCACATAATTGCAAAAATGAATTACTACTATTGTTGATTACTATTTATTATTTAAATAAAACAGCATTATCTTTTATGCTATTGCCATTATCTTTTAAATGAATACCTCATCTTTTATTAATTGTTTTTGAAAAAACACATTTTACTGTATATATTAATATACATATTAATACTAATAACACATGTCAGGAAAAATATTATTAATGTGCTTTTTATCACCATTTTTATTGATTCCAATCAGAGGTTGCAATAGTTGCAGCAGGTTATATGCAGGTTGAGTACAGTAAGTACAATTGTAGGTCCCACACCCAACCCAAAAAGGCATGTAAATACAACTATCACTACCAAAAATGGTTAAAAATAGTTTGTACTATACTCGCTGCATGAAATGTACTGTACTCAATCTAATACTACTGGTTACAGCATTAGACAAAATTTTTTTGGTTGCAACCTCTCGAGTTGTGACTTCCTAGCTGCAGTGAATCATCTTTAGTAATTTAAATTAAGACATATCTTATAAAGTAATTTACCTTATTGGAGAATTCAATCAATTCCTATGTCAAGCTTTTCATTTGGGGGCTGTTCTAGGAAAAAGTGGGTTTCGACCCTCAGATTCAAAAATGAGATATTTATACCAAATTAATCTATAC